ATTGTGTTAAATAATAAATTTACACTTGGCGCCTCATATAGCCTTGCATCATATTTTGGTTAATTCTGAACACCTCCAGAATTTTTGGTAAATCTCCAGATTTTTTTAAGATTTTTAAAAAATTCTCCAGATTTTCATGACCGGGTTGGCAGGTCCGGTACAGTTTAGGTCAACAGATGGATATTCACGCATGAATGAGAATAGGCGCAAAATGAAAACCGGTGCGGAAAGCCGGTCTTACGATAACGAGCGCTACACTATAGCCCCTTTCAGATAGACTTGCCGCAATACTGCGGTAAGCATGCCGGCGTGACAGGCCTATAACATTTCACACAGCCCCTTTGTTACCACAATATTGCAGTAATCTTAGGCTTACAGCAGTAGTAGATTTTGGTGTACACTATCCCGACTCGAATGGGTCGCAAAAATGTGAAACCTTGAAGATAGGGCTTATAAACACGGGCGCCCCTGGTTTCACATTTGGGTGGGGGGAGGGGTGTCAAATTTTTTCATAGAAACTCCAAAAAGAAAGGGGTCCTCCCCTTTGAAAATTTTGATTCCTAGATGGCTGGAAATGAGTTTTGCAGACTTCTGAGGTGTATTTTAATGACTTTTAATTTCTTCAAAATTCAAGGTTTTTCCCCTCTTGAAAAACTAAACTTTCTCACTCTTATTACAGTAAATAGGCTTATTTATGTGTGTATATAATAATGTACATAAAAAAATTGAGTTACATCGTAGGCCTATTCTTCTTTTCATGAACTGATGAACTCAATTGCACAGACATAGTATAGTTGAGCAGCAAAGCGAAACCACTGCAGTTGTTATGACCAACTCCCTGATCAGTCTAGTAAGTATCAACCCGAGTATCAGTATCTTAATTTAAAACTCAGTTGTCGGTAGTACACTACTCCCGGACGCATGCCTCCCGGACGGACCGAACGAACGCAAATTTCGCCTCCAGCGAGGAGAGGACCGATTGAGTACCTGGCCAAAACCATTTTCAATGTGTGTTAAAAAAAAATAAAATAAAACCACAGAAAGGCAGCTGCAGTGTGCGTATCATAGAATTTATTGGATACTCAATCAAAGAACATTTTTATTATGTCGTAGGCTTATCCACGGTTATTGACGACTGGTTTAATTCAGATTAATGTTTTTTTTTTTCTTCTGAGGTAAAAATTATGCTAAATTATGCTAAATTTTTCTAAAGTTATGCCAGCACATATGCTAGATGCTAAATGGGTCTAAATTATGCAAAAAAGCATAATTATGCTAGGTCTGGTCACTATGGTTGCCGCAATATCGGGTAGACCCTTTCATATAGCAAGCCAACAAACGTTAAGTGTGCGAGGTGGGCTAAAGCCGGTTTTCCACTAGGCGAATTTATTCGCGCGAATCGAAAGCGTCGTTCATACGCATGCGCATTCACATTTCTATCGGAGTTTTCGCTTCAGCGAAATTGGTAGTTCGAACTGTTTCTACTTTTAGCGAAGCGAAAAATGTGCGCAACCAATCGGAGCTAGGAACCGAACCGATGCCTTCGATTCGCGCGAATAAATTCGCCTAGTTGAAAAACCGGCTATAAAGTATGCTTACCGCAATTATATTGCGGTATTGCAGCTTCGTCTGAAAGGGGCTTATTTGACACACGGCTGCAATTTGTTTTAACATGCTCACTCCTATATTACTATCCATAACGGTATATAGTCCAAACCGGTTCGCAGACTAAAGCCAGTCTGACATGATTTTGCTTACGATAAGAGGCACTACGATTATTAGGCCTACGACTGCGATTTATTTTAACATGTTCAAAATTTTACGATATCGTACACTTCTATATAACTATCCATGCCGTGTCGACGTATACACAATACCTCTCACAACTTACCCCAACTCCAGCACACCAGACGAGTTTAGACTGAGCGTGTCGAGCGTAGCTTGTCGTAAGCAAACATCACAATGCGAGACCGGTTTAACGCCGGGCACATACTGAGACGAACGACGGTCATGATGGAATAAATATAAAATAATATTTTTAAATTACACTTCTATTGACGTTTTAAAAGCTATTTATGTATATTGTATCTGTATTTAACATTTTTCAATCTTTAACAATTTAAAGTCGAAGGTATGTCCTGGTCCCCGACCCTTTTATGTGTGAGAAATATTTAAAATGTTTTATTAAGAATCAACTGCAGCTTACAGTACCTGTAAGTTCATTCTAAAACTGTTGGAATATGAATTTCCCTCTAAATATAGTATTTAAAGACCGGTCTTTATAGAGGGATTCTGATTAGAGACCAAAGCTGCTAAAAACCACTAAAACCCCGGTCCCAAAAGTGGTGTTTAATTAGATAGAGACCTGCACTAGCATGACCTACTTGTCGATTTGACTCTCTTATAATAATAATAATAATAATAATAATAATAATAATAATAATAATAAAAGTAACTCACCAAAATAGATAAAATAACACTTTATTATTTATTATTGAGCCACGTATTCAACTACATTATTATTTTTGGTACAGTTGTGTATATCTGTAACTGGCATACAAACATTAAAATCTAATTCAATTCAAGAGTATGAAATTATTTTTGCTTCATCAGTAACAACTTAAATCTGGGTAACATTACGGTACTCTGACAAATTATGAGGGATTGAACCAAGAGCATTTGCTTAATTTGAAATGACAACTAATGCTAACGTAACCATTTGCATTTTAATAAGAAGTATTTAACTTGTATCATATATCGAGAATCTGAATGATACTGATCGTTCTCTTCATTAGGCTAGGGCCATTTAGTTTTTTTTAAATGTATTTATTGATATCCTCTTCTCATCTTAAAAATAAACAGAACGGTCCAGGTCAACAGATTATAATTATACATAAATTATGTGTAAAGCAAGAAGTATCTGTGAGGGTGAAAAAAGCTACTTCAACCGGGATTCGAACCCGGGACCTTTTCCTGCCTATGTAGATGCCTTAAAGAACAGGTCCACTGAGGCTTTGTTGAAAACTCAAATTCAATTGTAACAACTAATGTCTCACAATTATTGTCATGCGTAATTGGACAGCTCTTGACCTTCAAGCATGACACAAATACACAACATTACTGTTTGCCCATAATACCGCCATGTCTACAAAATACATATTCATGATAACAGTTTACACATATACAACGAACGGTAACTCAGTAACGTTGTGCCACATTATATTTGACCGAACATTTGTATTTCACATTAAAAAAAAATCCTACAATACATTCATTATAAAATGAAAATAGAGTGCACCCTCCAATTCTAGACCCCTCTAATTCCAAGACCCATGTAAATCGAGGCCACTTTTTCGAAGGACGAAATAACAATCGTCAATCTTTCAACACAAAGTTAACCTTGTAAGTGGAGACCAAACCCTTATACCGCCCAAGGTTTTCAAGTTTTTCTAATTTATTTTTTTATTAGTGATTTGGTGCATGACCAAGGATTAGCAATAGCGACTTAATCACTGTCCTATTAGACATGTAGCAATCCCTTCACATGATAAACATAAACACATTGATGCTATAGCATAAACTAAGTCTCATAAATTAGACTTATGGAGTGGAGTTGTTTTGTTGTGAGAAAATAATCCTTGAATCTGACAGGATTTAAACCCAGGACCCTGGGATTGGAAGGCGAGCACCTTACCCACCAAGCTATTCAACTCTGCTCGAGTTCCCAAGTGGTCTTGAATTGGAGGACTATTGAGAACTATTAAGAAGCCCTGTCAAGTCGGTGGATCTTCAGTTTAATGTGAGCGTCAACGTTCTTTGTTGAGCGTTAAATTGTCTAATATTTATTTTAGATTAAAAAATGGCGTTTTTAAGAAGCCCAGGTAGCTTAGTCGTTATTTAAATCTGAGAGTAAAAGGCTGAAGCCACTTATGGGGCTTCAAATTCTTTAATGTTTCGGAATTTTTAAATTTTAATACATTCGTTATAAAAAATGTTTAAGAGTAAGAAGAATATGGAGATTATAATCAGATTAATCCGGGGGGGGGGGTAGGGGCGATGTCCCCGACGAGGAGTCAATTTCCCCGACAAGAGCAAAGTGGGCGTGGTCGAGCATCACTTATAATGTTTCGAAAGAGGTGCAGGGGCCAAGCCCCCGAACATTTTGACAATTTATTTCGATTTTAGAGTCTACTAATTTGTACAACATACATATAAGTTTTTTTTTTCTCCCAAACGAATTGTGATTTTCTCCCCGACGGGGGGACCTGCCCCACCCCCCAGCGCCACCCCTGTCTGAAGGGCAATGGATCAAGTCCCTTATTTGGTGCCAAATTGTTTTATATTTAATAATTTCTTTTAAATTTTACTAGATTCGTTAGAAAGTGTATATACTTATAGTTAAGAAGCCAGGTTAGCTCAGTCGATAGAGCAACGGACTTTTAGCTCATTGTTCAATCCCCGTCTTAAAATTTTTATATTTTACAATCTTTGAATTTTACCGCATTCGTTATAAAATGTAAATAATTTTAAGTTTAAAGCCCGATGAGCTTAGTAGAGCAAATTTTAATCAGGGGTCAAGGGTTGCCTCTTATTAGCCGTCGGCTCAGCCGCCACACGTCAATTTCCTGTTTTATTGGCGATAATTTATCCTCACTTGATTTCATCCCAAATGATACGCTTTTTGAATAAAAAGGATGACTTTCATGCCCATTAAGTGAACTACCATGATGATAATAATGTAGGCTTATGGATTTGTACAGAAATGCATTAAAAGTCGTTGGTGGCCTATTCAAACGTTGAGTAAATTTCAAATCCCGTATTCACTTAATTAGACATCACTTAATGTTATTTTGAATATTTTGTTTGCAGGTTAATGTCTATATGTGTCGCATTGTTGGTTGTTTGAAGATTACACAATACGCTATTACAAAATGTATCTGAGCAGATAGGCCTATCTTATACTAGATGTTTGTCCATTCCTGCAGAAAACATGTTGATGAACTCAAAGTACGTATCCAGTGTATTTCAGTATAAAATGATAGAAACAAGCCATCAATTCGTGGAAGTTAAAATACTGTTAATATGTTGCATCAAAACTTGTGATCTTGAAACTGTGATATTCCAAGTCCAATATTGTAACGCTAATTGTATTTCTCTTCTTCTGTAAAAATATTTGTTCCACAATTGGTCTGAAATACATAAAAACCATATAAACATAGTAATTTCTAATAATAATAGTTTCTCATAATAATAATAATAATAATCAGGTTTTATATACTACATGTATGAAATAATTGTATTTCCTCCATAACCATAATATTATAATTGTACTACATACGTAAGTACTTCTAAAAAAAAAATAATGAACTAGAGCAGAATCATGACAAACCATTAAAATAATTAAGATGTCTAAATTAAAAATGAAAAAAGAAATGTACATTTTTAAAGTTTTTTTTTTCGTTTTTTTTTTTCGTTTTTTTTTTTAATTATTTTTCTTTATCTACAACAAGGTGTCAGATATTTCTTCCGTTGTTAGATATTAAAAAATCTATATCTCAATAACTATTGCCAAGTTTTTTGTCAAACATCTTTTTTCATCTTAGAAAAATGAGTTCTAAAACATATCAAAATATTTTTTTTTTCTCTGTAGCCTGCCTTTAAGTGTTTGGACTCCTACTCTGATGAAATGTAATTGTTTTCCTTTAAGCTCGTTTTCCACTAGGTGAGTTTATTCGCGCGAATCGAAATCGTCGGTTCACTTCCTGAGCTTTGATTAGTTGCTGATTTAGCTAAAGCTAAACTGATTGGCTACTGATTTAGCTGAAGCGAAACACTCCGATAGGAATGTGAATGCTCATGAACTGACGTTTTCAATTCACGCGAATAAATTCACCTAGTGAAAATCAGGATTTAGGATATCTACCTGGTTATAACAGTCTCTATCAGCCTGGAATTCCGGTTCAGTGCCATTTTCAAAACGTACGTACCGCCGCAACTGTAATCGCCATTCGGTTCTAAAGAAAAGAAGCATAGTCTACAATTATTTTATGCGATGTAATAATTATCACTCGAAATTTGATGCATAATCGCTTTCCGACAAATCTTATATTTTTTATAAGGGGCCTACAATTTTTTTTAAATTCAATTTATTGTGACTCACAAAAACATCAGACAGAGATAAAAATGGAAGCAAAATTACAGGTTTCACAGACTCGAGGTCCAAACTAAGAGAAAAACGCACTGGGCAAAAAAAAAATCATATGACAAAAAAAACACAATAATTGTATAAAAATACGAAGGGTGTTATTGGATATCACTGTGTCACTTACTACAACTGACTGAAAAATCTTAGGTTGTATACATGTAGTATTACGCCAAGAATAATGTATTTTGTTCCTCATTATTCTGAATTTGTTGATATTTAGTGGTAATATTGCCTAAAGTATCGTGTTTGACTATTATCTTTTAAATATGTTCAACACTATACATTCACCATTATTTTATTTGTAGTTCATGCTAATGATTACATTTTAATAACTAAATTAAGTTTTATTTAACTCATTTACATGTTTTTCATACTGATTTATTACTTACGGTGTACGATACGCAGCATTTTCTAGTATTTTGACATTATGAGTAATATTAAAATGTGGCTGTAGTTACTGTACTCTCTTTTGTTCATTTTATCACTTTTTCTGTTTTCTAGCTTGCCGTGCAAAATGCATTATAAAATAAATTATATAGAATAACGACCTTACATTATCATAAAAAGGCCATTTCTTAATATATCTCTTAACGCAAGTCGTATGAACCGTGCGTTTAGCTTGCAGTTGTCAAAATTAAACTATAAGTGCGAGTGTTCTTATTGTCGCATGCTGTTCACACTAAAGTATTATTTGCAGCATAATCATTACAGTTTTGATTGACATTATTATATTAAAACTCAATTTTGATTCACATTCGATGGACTTGTTCAACTGCACAATCATTGGTAAATGAAGATTTGTTTGCAGTTGTTTGTTATGAACACAATTTAGCTGTAACATATTTACCTTTGTCTGTTACAGACCACCAATCCGATGATGTATGAACAAATAATGACGACAAATGCTGCTGTTATCCATACTGCTATGTTGTTGATTACTCGAGTTCGGGATAAAAGTGTGTCTTTATGTCTCGCAGGTTTATTTGTATTTATTTCTGAAAACATGTTATAAACAGAGGAAATAAGTAATAAGTAATTATTTACTACATTTACAATCTACAAAAAATTACTTTCGTCTGTGCCAAGATAAACACTCTTAGTGTCAAAACAAGCATATCTAACAAAAATATTACTCAAATAAAGGTATATTAAGTTGTATAACCACGTAAGTAATATACAATATCAAAGAGTATAAATAGAACAAGAGAGCAAAGTCCCGTTCGTAAAAACGTCACGCCTGTGTAGGACGCCCACTAACGGTTGTATATTCTTTTTATTACACAGTTGCAGCGTTGCGCAGCGCGGTAGAAGTACGCCCGCTATAAACTCAATAAGCAGAAAACAAAAGTACAGTATCTTGTGGGGAACAGATAAACAGACAAACCTACCGTGCGCGGTGGAGTACTGGGTAATAAAACACATACAAGCGTTAGTTGGCGTCCTACACTAGCTGCGTAG